TCAGCTGGAGGGCACCGGTGGGGCCATCAGAAATACTGACCCTCTAGCTGGCCACTGACAAGAGGGCATCTCCGTCTTACTCTGAGAATAAACGAACACTGGGGATGTTCTCATTCACTCTTGCTTCCCGATGACATTTTCCACTGTCCTGGACGAGACAGGGACAAGCCCTGACCAAGTGATGTCCACTTACTACATTAAAAAGAAGTACATTTTCCATTAATTGAAGACAATTGAGCTCCATAGTCTGGACATTCCCCAAGCAGAAGGGACCACAGCAAGGACAGTAGTGACACCAGGAATGGGTGGGAGCTGGCCACTGGTGGGCAGACAGTTACAAACCCTACCTGGCATGGCTGAAAATGGGATACGTTTTTAAATCTAATCCTCTCATGTGAAATGTTTAGATAACGCATTTAAAGAAATTAGAATAGAATAAACAACTTGGAGTATGTTTCCCTTGGGACAATAGAAATAAGTAAATCATTTCTAGCACTAAAGCTAAAAAATGTCCGTCAAGGGAGCAGCAATGGGGCATCTGAAAAGGAATGGGTCTGGAATGGAAAATTGGGGCTCACAGGGCCGGTCTGCAACTTCTGGATGGTGGACAGCTGCTTAGAGGCATGTCGTTTAGTGGCCAGAGTGTGGGGTTCTGAAGGCACATCAACCCATGCTGGAATACCGGCTCTGTCACCAAAACCATTTAACCTTCCAGAGACTGTCTCCTTATTTTTCCCATGCATGGTGGGACTACATGATCATGGTGGGCCTCCTAAAGTATCACCCAACAGAATTTGTAGGCAAAACAGGAACGCAGAAAGCTGCGTTCAGATCAGATCAAAACAGGAAGGGTTCAGATCAGTGGTGGCCTTTACCATGGCCAAGGCTGCCAGTGGGGTTCACATCTCTGTTTCTCCCTCTCCATCCTTTGGTGCACAGGAGCAGGGCCCCCCACACGCTAAGGCACACAGCCCACCCAACCCGTACAGCCTTTTGTCAATGAGCCATGAACAAACCATACACAGAGAGAAGCTTCTTTTTTTTTCTTCAATTTAATTGAAGTTACTTAGAAAAATAATCAGGCTTGAATGGCTTTTCCTGGAGGAAGGTTCATGAACATTTCACGCTTTTGTTGGCAATGTGGAATTCAGCTTTCTTGAACGGTACAGTAGGAGACGGAGAGTTTTCTAAAACAAGCCCTCTACTGCATACAAATAGGTAAGAAAAAAAAAATCACACTCCACAAAGATGTTAAGTTATATGCGCATATATCATACTGAGCATGCTCATAGGAAAACAGTACGGGCAGCCCCTTCTGTACCCAACAGAGTAGCAAACCGAAATTCGCCTGTGAACAGCCAAGGGGCAAGCTGGTTATCGTAGGTCCTGTTGCCTGTTCATAGGGTCCGGTCAGCTGATGAGAAAAGGCTGGAAGAAATAAATGCTGGTTTTCGGAAATTGGGGGAGCCATGAGGTCAGTCCTGCTGACATAGGAGGGGGCCGGGAAGGGATTCTGGTCACACGGATTGCACAGAAGGGGGCAGCTCATTTTGTGTGTGTTGGTGTGCATGGGGGAGGGGCAGTCTGTGAGGGACATGCTCTGACATCACCCACCGGGGACAGAGTCCCTTGGCTTCTTGCCAGTTTCGGACAGGGACTTCTACCTGTTCTACCTGAGTAATCACTACCTCAGCAGTGGGCCAGACCCCACCAGCTAAGTGCGCCAGTGACTTTTTTTTTTTTTTTCTTCCCCTGGGAACTTTCTACCAGCAGGAATTAGCCCCTTGTGCCTCCACACCAGGATGCTATCAGGAGGGTGGAGCTCACCTGGTGGACAGGGAGGAAGGAAGGTCCCCTCTGAGACACCAGAGGTCAACAGACTGCCTTTCTTCCCAGACCAGCTGGGGAGGTGGAGAGGAGGATGGGGAGGGTGGTCCAGAGAAGCTGCAGGAATTCAAACCCTGTGGCTAATATTCTAGAATTTTCCAACCAAAGGGATAGGTTAAGCAGGAATGTCCTTGTAAATACTACCCTAACTGTACCTGGTTTTGAAAACACAGCAGCACCTTTGAAAAGTGGCTTGGAGGTGGGACACCTGCCTGTACTTTTCTCCAGCGAAGCATGCAATGAAAAGCGTTTTCAAACAGTTTTCTTAAAAACAAACAAAAACAAAAACACAAGCTTTTGCTTCCCAGGCACATTTTTACCCATGGATTCTTTTATACCAAGGACACAGAATACTTTCTACATTCTGCAGAACAGTTGATTCAGTTTTTTTTTTTTTAATTTTTATGCCATTAGAAAATAAAATGTGAACACAAAACAAACACAAGGACAAAGTCCCTCATTGCAGAACTACACTGATGTCTTGTCCCCTGAAGGACAGTCTTTCTCGCTTGAGAGAAGATGGATGAAAGGCGGTACTCTGAACACGGCCCGAGTGAGCTCACCCGATCCAACAAAGATGGTGGCGGGAACACAGAGTTTGTGAAATCTATGGGAATTTCCATTGGAAAAACAAAAGCACACGGTGAACAATTCCAAACTCTGGAACTGAAGAAGCACTCCTGAAGGGTTGAGCTCCCTCTGCGTGCTTTGAGCAACCTAAGGCTTGAGGAGTAAGGGGACTATTCTGTGGCCTTATGTCCCCTTCCCTTCCTCTGTCCCCACCACTCAAGACCATCCTCTGCTCCCTTTGGGAGGGATGGAATCATTGCCCAGGGTAGTATCCAGGATTAAAACCATTGCACTTAAGTAAAAGTTTAATTGATTTGATAAAGTACCTCTTGCTATAAACCAGATAGAGATGGATTGGTACTGTTTTATTGTTTTGTTTTGTTTTGGAGAAGGGTCAGGGAAGTCGTTTTATCTTTGATGACCTCAGATATGCTAAATCAACCTAACCAAAGTATATTCTGTGGAACATTTCTGTGAGATCTGCAAAATAGAGTATCCTGGTCACATAAGTTCAGGAAATGCTACCAACTCAATGATGCTTTTGGGGGTTCATAATGCACAGCTTACATCCAAGGCTCTGAAAAGTCCTGTAGAAAGGAAATTGACTTTGTTTCCCAAAGATATCTGACCTCAAAATGCTTTTTTTTCTTTCTCTTTTCTTTCTTTCTTTTTTTTTTTTTTTTTTTTTGCATCACACCAACTTCACATCTCCTAGAACCTTTTTGTTCTGTGGAGCACATATCAGGAAATGCTGGACAATGTTTCATTAGCAGAAGCCCTATTTTGGAGGACAGTGTCCCCTGCCTGGAAACAGGGCCCAGACTCCCAATTCCAGGGACAGCTGAGGTCTGTCGCTCTATTCAGTAAAACACACGGCATACATCTCTGTCCAAGGAGGGCACAGTCGCTGTGCCCCTCACAAAGGGGAGAGAGCTTGGACGAAGGGACACAACATTTTATAAAAAGCCTTGGCCGCCCCCTCCCCGGTGCACACCTCACTCACATTCAATAAAATCATGTCCTCAGTGAGATTCAGCAGCTGCTGCTGAACTGGCTGTGAGCTTTCCAATACAATTCTAATAGTTTCTGTGAATAAATTATTCATTTGTTTGTTGAGAATATTCTCACCCCTTTGCTATATACTGCATCAAAAACAAAACAAAAAGCAAAGCTTACCCACACCCCATCCCACCCCACCCCCTATTATTAGAACTATAGTTATTATATACAGGATTTGCTACCAAATCATTCACTAGTTGTAAGAGGGATGTGGCCAAACTTCAACCGAGGCATCGAAATGGCTGGAAAATGAGAAGCATGTGCAGATGGCAATTAGCAAGGAACAGGAAGTAGAATGTTTCTGACCTTCCGGAGGAAAGGGGTCACGGATTACAGTCGCAGAAGGCTGTCCTTGCTGCTCATGCATGGTGCTTGCCAAGGTGCGGATGGTCTCGGCCTCTGGAGGACTTGGGAGGGGTATGTGCGTGCGTATGTGTACGGGGGGGTCCACCTCTGACCTTCACCAGGGGAGAAATGCCAGACCACTCCAGATCCCAAATGTACGAGGTCTGCCATAGCTTCTCACTCTTGCACATGGCAAAGAGGAGAGAACACTTCCATGCGGCGGCGTGGGTGCCGGGGCTGACGGGGCAGGAAGAGGCACTTGGCGAATGATCCTCTTCCCTCCCCCGCCAAGGCAGACATCACTAATCGGTGACAGCTCCCCTCCATGCTGTGCCTGGCGAATCTGTTCTGGGGCTTAAAGGTGGACACTACCAATCCACTGGAGTGGACACATGATGGGAAACACTTTTGTCTTCTCTTGTGTTGGGCGATGAGCCTGGATTACTCACCAAGTGGCCTGTTCTAAGTGTGTGGTTTTCAAATTTGGGCCAGAGAAAAACGCAAATCTGTAGGGGTCATGGACCTTCCGGGGTTGTTCAAAATGGTCCAAACCTCATGTAAAGTCCATGAATATGAGGGGTTTGCTAATTGTCAAGCTGGAAACTGTGTCCACATAAAGCTTCTTGAGGGCCGAGACCATTGGTTTTGTTCCATGCTCTACCCGCAGGGCCTACAATTAGGCCCAGCACATAGCAGTTGCTCAATAAATACTTGCTGACTATAAAGTAACAGCCACTTCACTATCACAACTGGCACTGCCAGTTAAAAATTTCCGTAGAAAAGCCTATTCTATCAGACTGCTAATCTGGTGGAAAAGGAAAAAAAAAAAAAAAAAAAAAAAAGCTATACTCAGCTCTTCTCCTTGGGTTAAAAAAAAAAATCACATTTTTTTTTTTTCTTAGCGCAAGGGACTCTTGGGTTGCTTGGAATCTGTTTGGAATCAGTCCCTTGCAAAGGTGCCTTTTTCTATTTATTTCTCACCGATTTCCAAGAAGGGTGGTATCAACAGACATCGCAAGGGTTATCACACAGTTAACTCTGTGAGCGGTTAGTGAGGAGAACATTCATGCCCCAGAATGAGCTTGTAGCAAGCACAGAACAAAAACACACATTTCTTCTGCAAAGACATTAGGATCTTGCTGCCACAGAAAGAAATCTACACAGAGACCATGTTTAAATAACGATAAATAATATTAATTAGAATTTCTGGGATGCACAATTTGTGGAATTCACCAGAGCACAAGGAAACCTCTGAGGCAGTGTTGCAGGTATTCACGTCTAGGCACAAGGACACACCCAACCTATTCCCCTGCAAAGACAGCCGTCCTTCCCTACTAAGGATTTTAAATAATTCTCAACCATGCTGCTCGCAGCATCATTCCCCAAAGAAATATTACTTTACAAAATAACCCAATATCCATATAATTTCTTTTGACAAATAAACATCTTAAATTAAAAAGCACGATTCTCTCCCCTCTCCCCACGCCCCCTTTACTCCAACTTCAGGTAGCTTGGCACTGAGTAATTGAACATTAAAAAATCGAGTTTGTAGACTTCGTATAGCTGCGTTTGGTGCTCCGAGCTGATGTTCTGGAAGAACTCTGTGGTCATCTCGTCAGTAGTTCTCGTAGACTTGGCATAGGTGGGGAACCTCAGGTAGCTGCCCACGCCCGCCAGCCGCAGGACGTAGTTGGAGTCCTCCTCCAGCGTCTCGTACTTGCCCACGAGGTCGTAGTGGATGTGGCACGGATGGCAGAGCGAGTGCACGGTCTGCCAGTGCTCGTTGAAGGGCTCCTCGCGCTGCGTGTGCGGGTCGATGAGATAGGCCACGAACTCCTCGAAGCGCACGTCGTCACCCCTGCGCAACGCCTCCTGCGTGGCGTTCTTGCGCTGCCGCCGGATGATCTTGGTGCCGTAGCGCTTGTGGAAGGACGTGTTGTACTTCTGCGTGAACTTGTTGCGGTAGGCGGACACCAGGCGCTCGAAGGGCTCGCGCACAAACAGGAACTTCATGTAGCTTTTCAAGCGGTGGTTGATTTCTGGGATGCTGTACTGGTTCAGCGTCTTGAGGTTGGCCGCCACGTGCGCCTCGCTGGCCGGGATCTCCATGGGGTCGCTGTACTTGCCCCGCCCGGTGAGCACCATCATGAGCCGCTTCCAGTTGGTGCACGCCACCTTGGGCACGTAGCAGTAGATGAGCTCGTGGTCCTCGTCCACCACCAGGTGCTTCAGGTCGCTGGGGGTCAGCACCCGCCGCTTGCGGCTCAGGGCGCTGTTGGCGCGACAGGTGTCCGTGACCTGGTCGCGCCTCATCTGGTGCAGGACGGCGGTGTTCGAGAGCTCCAGCTGCAGAGGGGACACAAGAGGAACACGAATTCAGTACGGGCGCGGGAGATGGGCCCCTGGGCCGCGTCCACAACCACGACGGCCAGCGCGTCCCCCCCCCCCCCCCGTGGGCACAGCCGGCCCACGACCAAAATGGCCGGTCCTCCTTCCTAATTCTCCACCCCAGCTGCCTCGACTCATTGGGTTCTTTGTTCCACCATGTTTCCTTTGTGGAGTAATAGTAATGATCAACTCTAGCTTACGCATCACCCTCTACCTGCCTGGCATTTTACTAGTGGGCTTTGCGTTGGCTGTTTTTCTTCTCCCTGTACAACCACGTAGAAACGGGGTTGATTTAACAGTATCAAGGACCCGCCCCCGTTGCCAGGAAGCCTGCTGCCAGGCACTGGGGATGCGGCCATAAAACATACAAGGAGGCAACTGCCCTTATGGAGCTGACCGTCTAGCTGTTAAGAAAGAGGGAACTGAGGCTCAGAGAGGTTAAGTCACCAGCTTGAGATCACACAGTGAGCAACTGACTCCGCACTCAAACTCGGGTCCTCCTGGCAACGGAGGCCACCCACTTTGCACGCTACCCTGAGGTCCAGTACGCCCATCTTCTTGATTGAAGCATGGGGACTCTGGCATTTGATTGATCTACTTTAAAGCAAGGGGATCCAGTTTCTCTACAAGCCTATCACTGTGAACATCTGCTGCCTTTGCGTCTTCTGGTGCCAGTGCCTTGCTGCCTCTGGGAACCCACTTTCCTCCATTCCCAGTTAGTTCCTTTTCCCTCTCAAGCAGCTGTGCTGTGAGAATGGCAGCCTGGAGCTTGGCGACAGGGAGGAAGGCCACCATGCAGGGAGAGCTAGACTGGGAAGGGAGGGTACAAAGAGATGAGAAGACAGAGGGACGTACTCCCCGTGCCGTCACCTCAATCCCTGGGTCCATACATTGCTGAGACCAGACCCCTCAACTCCTGGACTTTTTGTGACATCAGTCGGTACATTTGCTTTGGTGCATAAAGCGGTGTGAGTCTGGATTCTATCGTTTCGAACCCAAATATATGGGTATTGGCATTTACTACCCTCAAGCTTTTCTTCTCTGCCATATTCATCCATTGATGTACCCATTCAAACACGTGTCCAGACCTCACAGTGTACAGCGCTCGGCTCAGCACCCTTGGGAGACAGAACAATTTCCTAAAGGGCTCACAGTCAAGGAGGCATCAGACCAGAGAGAGCTGGAGGCCTCCAAAGGCCCAAAGGGACAGGCTGTGTGTGCTCCTCTGAATTCTAGGAACAAAAGTTTCTCCTCACAGGCCATATATGGGGAGCCGGTCCTTGGAGTCCACGTGGAGTAGGAAACAGAACACCTCACCACCCCGGTGTGCTGACAACCCTACTGTTGTTGCTTAAGGCCATGCCTCCATCTACCCTCCTGAATGTGCAATGTGGTTCTTCCTTTAAGTATCAAGGACATTGATATTAATTATGGTTAAAGCTATAGAGAAACTGGCGCACCACGGCTATGGAATAGCCGGTCTGGGGCTGCAGAGGACATGGTGTCCTGGTTGCCTTCCTGCCCCGAGGACACAGACCACATCCATGCACTTGTCTTTGATGTCCTCCATGGTCCCGCACCAACCTACCTTTCCAGTCCCATTCCTACTCCGCCCCTGTTCAGAACTAAAGGGAGCTCCAGAGAAATATCAACGATTCCCTTTTCCCTTTGTTTTTTAATTAAAAAAAATTTTTTTAAATCCCAATATAATCGACACACAGTGGTATATTACAGTATATATACCGTGGTATATACAATGTACCTCGTGCCTCATCTGGTGCAGGATATACAATATACTGTTTCAGATACATAATATATTGATTCAGTAATTCTGTACTTTACTCAGTGCTCATCATAAGCATATCCTTGATCCCCTTCACCTATTTCGCTCCCCACACCCCGGCCCCCCCTCCCCCCGGTAACCACCAGCGCTCTATATTTAAGAGTATGTTCGCCTCTTTCTTGTTTTGCTTCTTAAATCCCACATATGGGTGAAATCATATGGTATTTTCTTTTTCTGACTTCTTTCACTTAGCATAATACCCGGTAGATCCAGCCGTGTTGTTGCAAATGGCAAGATTTTATCCTTGAAAAATTCCAGTGTGTGTGTGTGTGTGTGTGTGTGTGTGTGTGTATCAAACACATCTTCTTTATCCATTCATCTATCTTTAGACACTTAGGCTGTTTCCATATCTTGGCTATTGTAAATAATGCTGCAATAAACATAGGGGTGCATGTATCTTTTTGAACTAGTGTTTTCATATTCTTTGGGTAAATACCCAGTAGTGCAATTACCAGATCATATGGTAACTCTGTTTTTAATATTTTGAGTAACTTCCATACTGTTTTCCACAGTGGCTGCACCACTTTGCATTCCCACCAACAGTGCACGAGGGTTCCTTTTTCTCTACATCCTCGCCAACACTTGTTTCTTGTGATTTTAGCGATTGACAGGTGTGAGGTGATACGTCACTGTGGTTTTGATTTGCATTTCCCAGATGGTGAATGATGTTGAGCGTCTTTTCAAATGTCTGTTGGCCATCTGTTTGTCTTCTTTGGAGAAATGTCTGTTCATGTCTCCTGTCCATTTTTAAGTGGATTATTTGTTTTTTGTGGTGGTGTTTTATAGAAATTCTTCATGTATTTTGGATATTAACCCCTTATTGGATGTATCATTTGCAAATATCTTCTCCCATTCAGTAGGTTGTCTTTTAGTTTTGTTGTTTCCTTTGCTTACAAAGCTTTTTCTTTTTTTAATTTTATTTTATTATGTTATGTTAGTCACCCCACAATACATCATTAGTTTTTGACGTAGTGATCCATGATTCATTGTTTTTGTACAACCTCCAGTGCTCCATGCAGTACGTGCCCTCCTTAATACCCATCACCAGGCTAACCCATCCCCCCACCCCCTCCCCTCTAGAACCCTCGGTTTGTGTCTCAGAGTCCATAGTCTCTCATGGTTCATCTCTCCCTCCGATTCCCCCCCTTCATTTTTCCTTCCTTCTCCTAATGTCCTCCCTGCCATTCCTTATGTTCCACAAATAAGTGAAACCATATAAAAATTGACTTTCTCTGCTTGACTTATTTCACTTAGCATAATCTCCTCCAGTCCCATCCATACTGATGTAAAAAAAAAAGTTGGGTACTCATCCTTTCTGATGGCTGAGTAATAGTCCATTGTATGTATGGACCACATCTTCTTTATCCATTCATCTGTTGAAGGGCATCTCGGCTCTTTCCACAGTTCGGCTATTGTGGACATTGCTGCTATGAACATTGGGGTGCATGTGGCCCTTCTTTTCACTACATCTGTGTCAGAGCTTTTTCTTTTTCTTTTCTTTTTCTTCTTCTTTATTGCTGTAGTCCCAAAAGTGTATTTTTGTTTTGTTTTCCCTTGCCTGAGGAGACATATCTAGAAAAAAAGTTGCTACAGCTGATGTCAGAGAAATTACTGCCTGTGCTCTCTTCTAGGATTGTTATGGTTTCAGGTCTCACATTTAGGTCTTTCATCCATGTTCAGTTTATTTTTGTGTATGGTGGGAGAAAGTGGTCCAGTTTCATTCTTTTGCATGTAGCTGTCCAGTTTTCCCAACATCATTTGTTGAAGAGACTGTCCTTCCCATTGCATATTCTGGCCTCCTTTGTCATAGACTAATTGAGCATATAATCATGGGCTCTCTATGAGTCTATTTTTGTGCCAGCTTTGATTACTACAGCTTTGTAGTATATCTTGAAATCTGGGATTCTGATGCCTCCAGTTTTGTTCTTTTTCAAGATTGCTTTGGCTACTCAGGGTTTTTTGTGGTTCCATACACGCTTTAGGATTGTTTGTTCTAGTTCTGTGAAAAAGTCTGTTGGTATTTTGATAGGGATTATATGGGATCTGTAGATTGCTTTGGGTAGTACGGACATTAACAATATCTGTTCTCCTAATCCACAAGCATGAAATATCTTTCCAGTTGTTTGTCATCTTTAATTTCTTTCATCAGTGTTTTATAGTTTTCAGAGTACAGGTCTTTCACTTCTTTGGTTAGGTTTATTCCTAGGTATTTTATTCTTTTTGGTGCAGTAGTAAATAGGATTGTTGTCTTAATTTCTCTTTCTGCTGCTTCATTATTAGTGTATAGAAATGCAAGAGATTTCTGTATATTGATTTTATATCCTAAAACTTTACTGAATTTGTCTATCAGTTCCAGTAGTTTTTTGGTGGAGTCTTAAGGGTTTTCTATATATAGTATCATGTCATCTGCAAATAGTGACAGGTTTACTACTTCTTTACTAATGTGGATGCCTTTATTTCCTTCTCTTGTCTGATTGCTGTGGCTGACACTTCCAGTACTATGTTGAATCAAAGTGGTGAGAGTGGACATCCTTGTCTTAGGGGAAAAACTCTTGAGTTTTTCACCATTGAGTATGTTAGCTGTGGGTTTGTCATATACGGCCTTTAGTATGTTGAGATATGTTCCTTCTAAACCTACTTTGTTGGGGTTTTTATCATGAATGGATGTTGTACTTTGTCAAATGCTTTTTCTCCATCTATGGAAATGATCATATATGGTTCTTATCCTTTGTATTAAGTTGATGTGATGTATTATGTTGATTGATTTGCAAATATTGAATCACCCTTGCATCCTGGGAGTAAATCCCATTTGATTGTGGTGAATTATTTTTTTAATGTATTGTTGGATTTGGTTTGCTAGTATTTTGTTGAGGATTTTTGCATCTATGTTCATCAGAGATATTGGCCTGTAGTTCTCTTTTTTGTGTGTGTGTCTTTTTCTGGTTTTGGTTCAAACAATCCCCTTTAACATTTCTTGTAAGGCTGGTTTAGTGGTGATGAATTTAACTTTTGTTTGGGAAACTCTTTACCTCTCCCTCTATTCTCATGATAACCTTGCTGGGTAGAGTGTTCTTGGATGTAGTTTTTTCTTTCAGCATGTTGAATATATCATGCG